TAGTATTTTTAATAAATTACATATATATTTCATTATTAAAGTGCAAATATGTTAATATAAAAATACGTATAGAATTAAAATAGAAACGAATTAAAAACTTACATGAAAATAAGTAAACATAATATGTAACTAAGCAAAGGTTTTTCAAAAAGCCTACAGTAAGCTTTTTAAAGAAAATAAACATTCTCAAAAATTGCTTATAAGTCCCTATATCTAATCTAATTCACAAAAATAAGTCCACCCACCATATCAAACATAACATCATCTCCCACCTCCTCTCAAATTCACCCGCACGGCCGCACACCACCACCGTCGCCGCCACATTCACCACTGAACACACCATTTAAGTTCACTCAAACACACATGGAGGAAACGAAAGATAAAAAATGGCAAATCTAGGAGCATCAACGGCGCCATATCTGCACCCGTTCGGTGGTCCGGCGGTGGAGCTCGGCCCCGTCACCTTCGCGCTCGTGAACATGGTGTGCATTTACTGTAAATTCTCCGGCCACTTCGAGAACATGGAAGGTGGAGGCGACGTGGTGAGAGATCTCAACTCCGGGAGAAAGCGACTGCGCCGACGCTGGAGATGGAGATGGTCTGTGAATCGGATGCTCCGTTGGCGGCGGCAGGGGGCTGAGATCGCGACATCACCGACGGAGGCTGTTATGGCGGCAAAACTCCGGCACGACTGAAAGTAAATCGACGGAGGCTATGGTAGATGAAGGACGACGACAACCATGGATGCGGCGGACGGGGTCCGGTGGCAGCAGGTGGGTGGGTGGCCGTGAGAAACTATGTGTGTGCGTGTGCAGGTGAAGTTAGGAGAGAGAAAGAGAGTTTGTGCGTGAAAGAGATTGAGGGGTAGGTGGGTTGTATAATTGTGGAGTTATTAATGTGGTAGTGGTGGGTCCCATTAGGTTTGAATTAAATGTCTATATTACCCTTAATTATTGGTCAAATACACATATTTGACCACACTGATCAAATAATTACTAGATTGCCATTAAT